TTTTATTGGACAGGGAACGGAGGGAAATCGGGCGGGAAAGCGCGAAGAAGGTTTGGGCTGGTGGCTAGCTGCAAGAAGCTCATCCTCTGACATGATTCGAATAGCATTAAAAAGAGTCCTACCACCCGCGTTGCGTGTTCCGTGCTGGGTTGATCATGGTTTTTGGTTTTGTGATATTTAGCTGAGGTAGTTAGTTTAAAACCTCAGCCACACCACTTGCTCAGCCACTTATTCACATGACACTTGTCTAGGGCATCAATCAGAATAATGCAGCTTGAATCTTTGTACAGAAGCCGCTGCAAAAAATTTTGTCTCGCCAAGATAATTAAAAAACCGCTATATTAGATAGTGAGCACCACCACAGTATTAAAATGTAATAAAACTACCCCTCATTTAAAATATAAGAGGCTCCCACCTAGTTTCTATTGCCTCAGTTTGTTATCTTTTCATCATCAGTGCTGCTTTCAATCATGGCTCCCAATACTGATATCGCCACTCGGGCGCTCGTGGTGGCTCTCAAATCACCTTATATTGCAAAAACTACCACTGAGATCATGAATATTACAAATCTCTCTGCTCGCCAAATCAACCGTATATATGCCAGAGCTCTCGAACGTGGCTTCAACCCTGATCTCCTCTATCTTACTATCCGTGATGAATTCCTTCAAGATGCCCCCCGCAGTGGCAGACCTACAAAACAGACTTCTCCTATTTGAGAGCAAGTATTAGCGAAGGTGCGCCGAAATCGATATGGACGGGAGAAATCCTGTGCTGATATGGCTCTTGAGCTCAGTGAGGAGGGCTTTAATATTGCACCCAACACTGTATGGAAGATCTTGCGAAAAGCAGGCATGAAAAAGACCAAACCTACTCGAAAACCTGGCTTGACCAATAAAATGAAACATGAACGACTTCAGTGGTGTCTAGATCATCAAGATTGGACTCTAGAAGATTGGAAAAGAGTTATATGGTCAGATGAGACATCTGTTATATTGCTTTCATCGCCGTGGAGGATATCGAATTTGGAGAACCTCCAAGGAAAGATTCTCTCGAAGTTGCATACGCGAGCGATGGAAGGGGTCTTCAGAGTTCATATTCTGGGGTTGTTTCTCATATGATAAAAAGGGTCCCTGTCACTGCTGGAGTCCGGAAACTGCTCAAGAAAAGGCTCAGTCAGTAAAGGATATAGATTCTCTTAATGAAATGATGGAACCAATCAAGAAAGCAGAATGGGAGCTTCAAAATGGAATATGACGTTTAAACCTTCGTCAACTGCCAGGACCTCAACCAATATGGAAGTGGAAGAAAGAGACAGGCAAGCTATCCCGTGGCAAAAGTAATGGAATTGATTGGTATCGATATCAGGTCAAAATCCTTCTTCCAAAGCTCTTTCCCTTTGCCAATGAGTGTGAAAAGGAACGTCCAAATACCATTGTCCAGGAGGATCGAGCTCCTGCTCATGATCACTATATCCAACGTCATATATATGAGATTCATCACATTCAACGGATGCTCTGGTGTGCGAATTCCCCAGATCTCAATATGATTGAACCTGCTTGGACCTGGATGAAACGAAAAACAACTGTCAAAGGAGCTCCACAGAACCGGGCAGCAGCTATCCCCTCGTCCGTAGGTTTGTGCAAAATTAGCGTGGTTTCAATTAGTGTATGGAATTCTGCACCGGCGCCCTGGGCATAACCAATAGAATCCTATATAATTTTATATGAATAATAATTGGTCATTTAGATCCACTGATTGAAGATCCCATGTAAATCTTAAGAATGTGTATGGAATTCAACGCATTTGAAGCCCTGCCTGTCTGCCTGCCTGCCTGATTCTCATATATTCACCCACCTATCCCCCTACCCGCGAATATGGAACCCCCCAAACCTGCGAACGTGGAATCCACTGAGAAACCTACTAAATCCAATGGTGAGTTCCTTATATTAATCAATTCAAATGACCTAGCTAACTAATTCATTCTCTAGTTCATACAAAAACATCAAGAAAATGAAAACGGCCTGTTGAAGAGGTTATTGCAGAACTTCCACCTCTAGAATCAGTGAAATTCCACCCAATACTGCCTACCTCATGAGATCCAATTCTCAATATTTCTGCAAATATCAATATTAGCAGTCCATACACCCTGTTTACCTTATTCTTCTTTGAGAAATGCTTTCAAAATATCAGTAATTCTACTAATCTCTATGCAAAATTAAAGAGAGATACTAGAGATACTGATGATGAAGCTCATAGAGATTTCTGAAATATCTATATTCTCAAAGCCTTCTATTCAGCAATGTTCATGGAAAAATATCAATCCAGTGGAGATAAAGGTCTTTATAGGCATTCTTCTCTATATGAAAGTTCATAAATCCCATCAAACTGATCTATACTGGTGGAATGATCTGAAACAAGGCTCTATTCATTCCATTCAATCCTATATGACGCATACACGTTTCAAACAGATTAAACGATATATCCATATATCTAACCCTCATGAGGCCCGCCGCCCGGAGGCCAAAAATAAGGATTGGTGGTATAAGGTAGAGCCATTAGCTACTAAGTTTCATATGACATGCTGAAAATACTATACCCCTGGCTCTAAGATTTCCATTGATGAGATTATGGTTAAATGCTTTGGACAGAGTCAACATACATACAAGATGTCTAATAAACCAATTCCTCAAGGATATAAGATATTTGGCCTAGCAGAACATGGCTATTTATGGTCTTTTTCCTGGTCTAGCCGCCGGCAGGGTATAATGCCTATGTTTCAATTCCCTATGTTAACAAAAACCGGGATCTATGGTGGTGAATCTGGTGAAGCGGCTTCCTATGGTATCCACGCTGAATACGCTGAATACCATGCTGAATGCCACCCCTAATATCGACCCTAATATCACCCATAATATTGGCCCTAATATCAACCCGAATATCACCCCCCTGAATGCTACACCGAATGCCACGCCTAATGAAATCTCTATCTCACAGCTGGTCATATTCTATTCAATTTATATGGATAACTACTTTACATCAGTTCCTTTATTCAAAGAACTACATCAACAGAGGTATGGAGCATGTGGAACCACTCATCCAAACCAGGTTCCAGCAGTACAAGGTGAGCTTCGAGAGCATTCAAATTCCATACCCTGGAATACCCTGCATGCCATTGAAAAAGAGAATGTTCTCTGTCTTGCTTGGCAAGATAATAATATGGTATTGGCACTAACTACGATTCATTCATTGGACGCAGTTATTGAATGTACTCATAAATGCCCAGGGGAACTCTCAACCAATGCCAATATTGTTAGAAAAGTCTTTGAAGATCAACCACAAAAGAAGCTTAAAATCCCATTGATTATAGATGATTATAACCATCATATGAATGGGGTAGACCTAGCAAATCAATACCAGGCAGCATATACTAGTCATAGAGTCACCTATCACACCTGGCTTCCTATTCTCTACTGGCTTATTGATTCCGCAGCTATTAATGCATACCGGCTTCAATATTTATATATGAAGCAGCAGGGGATTCCAGTGAAGGATCTTCCTTCTCATATAAGCTTTCATGAGAAGCTTTACCAGGAACTCTTTGAATTCACATCTAGAATTCATGATAATCTACCAAGGAAATGATCAAATTCTAATCTAAATCATCAATGGATTCCTCTTCCAAAGCAGCGTGTTTGTGCCTGGTGTCAATATAAACGAAAGATTGGCCAGCAGAAATATAAAAAGATAGGGAGATCAAATTCTGGCTGTTCAGAGTGTCAAAATACCCTCTTTTGTTTGAAAACTCAATGTTGGGCGGAATTTCATAGTATATCCTAATATCTATTTACGCGGATCCTTAATTAGGGTTTATATATTACACTAATACCAATGAATACTCAAAAATACACTGATTATTCAATGAGATCTCGTATAATATACACTAATGAAACCACGCTAATTTTGCACAAACCTACGGACGAGGGGATAGCAATATGGGAAAGAACATGGAGGGATCTACCACAGGAGCAGATTCAGGCTTGGATAGAGCGGATTCCTGTTCATATTAAGAAGGTTATAGAGTTAGAAGGTGGCAATGAATATAAGAAAGGAAGACTTCACTAATTACACTGTAACTTACTTATTAATTTGAATGATAATAAAAGAATGAGATACAGGATCTTCAGTATTAATTTCAGTGCGTATTTCAGAAGAAAATTGTGGCGTTTTTAGTGCTTAGTAGGGCGAGACAAAACTTTTTGCAGGAGCATCTGTACAGTACATTCATCTATTCATTTAAATACAAATCAAAATCTCTTTTAACTACTTTATCTTATTAAAAGTCAGAGATTATATCTGTGAAGAGCTGCAGTATTATATAATATTCTTTGTTTTAACTGATTAGTTAGTATAAGTTACCTGGATCTTTCCACTTGGAGGCTTTGGAAATCGAACAAATCATTATCGCCTCAAGAACGTTCCTCGAAACCCAATGATGGAGAATGGAGGTGCCGGTTCCAGATCAATCTTTCTCAATCCTCATCATCAATCCTAATACGTCCACACATATGACTGATGGACTCAGACCCCTTCTCCAAAACCTTGCTTGTCCAAACATCCACATTGACTATTTCACAGCTCCACAGGAGCCATCACTGGGGCCAGACGGGGAGGAAATCAGAGGAATCCCTAGCATCAACTCCAGCGTTGATTCATCACTTTCCGCCCTCCACTGTTTACCTCATTTGACACCTTTGATATCCAAATATGACGCCTTCCTAGTCGCATGCTACTCAGTGCATCCACTGGTTGGAATGCTGAATGAGCAGATTGGCATCGTTACACCAAATGCAAAGGCTCAGTTTAGAAAGAAGTACGTGACTGGTATATTCGAGGCAAGCGTGTGGAAAAGTATTTCCCTATTACGCTCTATTTCTGCTGTCAATTCCGGCGCCGATGCTGGCAAAGGACTTGGGCCAACATTCGGAATCATTTCCACTGGAGATGTATGGAAGGAGATATTTGAAAACGCCGTGCCGGAGCTGCTGCGACGGCGCTCGGATTTTGGGACGGATGACAATGTGGACCTGGAGTCATTATTTGCTGGGGTCGAGACCACAGGGCTTAGTGCTGTTGAGTTGCATACTACACCTGCAGAAGAGGTCGAGAAAAGAATGGTAGAAGCAACGGAACGATTAATTAACAGGGCTGGGAAACAAATAGCATCCATATGTCTCGGATGTGCGGGGATGGCAGGCATGGACGGAGTTGTCCGTCAAGGGTGCATAAGAGCGCTTGGTCCAGTGCTGGGAGAGAAAATCGTCATCATCGAAGGAGTCGTTGCCGGAGTGGAACAACTGGTTGATGAATGTAGTAACTCAGGCGGTTGGTCGTGAGCTTGGCAATCATAGTTGAATACTTATCGACATAGTGCCTACAATCACAGAGGCTACAGAAGTAATTGATATATTTACAGTTCATCATTTGGAGGGGCCCCAGTGCCCGTGGTCCCCAAAAGTGTTGAAGTAATAACTATGTTGTAGTTTGCAGGGCTGAAGTTCGGCCCAAGCTGCAGGAACCAGTTTTGCTCTTTGACTGCCCTAATTCCCAACTTTCCCCTCCACCACGCGAGGACGCGTTCTCCACATCAAAATCAACAACAGCTTCAAGCAAAGTCAGGAAGATGCCAAGGTATGTTAAAACCCAACTCCTATCCGTATTTAGCAGATATTACATCGTATCTCCTTCTATTAAGTTTATTAATCACATTCTGCTTCTAGGGAGATCATCACAATCCAGGCTGGCCAGTGCGGCAACAATGGTACGTCAGACAATTCAGAGCGAGCGGAAAACCCACAGTATTGTCCTATCCCATATATGAAGAGCTCTCTTCAATCATTTCCAGTGTTATATCAAGCGGCACGGCCAGACCTTGTTCAATTAGTCAGAGGTAAATGGTGCGAACATTAGATGTGGAGACTGATATGTCGTTTAGTTGGTAGTCAATTCTGGCAGCAGCTATGCCTCGAACATGGAATAAACAAAGATGGGAATTTAGCAGAATTTGCGACTGAGGGAGGAGATCGGAAAGATGTCTTTTTCTACCAGGTTAGTTGCTCTGCTTGTTTGAAATGGATTGATTAAAATTGGAACGCGATTGCTTGCTGATAATTCGATCTCTTAAAATGGAAAACAGAGTGACGATACACGATACATTCCTCGAGCTATATTACTTGACCTAGAGCCAAGGGTATGACCAACCTTGAGAAGCTAATGGTATTTCATATGTGGTTCATTTTGCGACGGTTTGCTAATAACTTGTTTCCTATGCGCAATTCAGGTTCTGAATACCATCCAAACCGGCGCCTATCGCAACATATACAACCCTGAGAACTTTTTCATTGGTAGGCAGGGGATAGGTGCAGGGAATAATTGGGCTGCCGGATATGCGGCCGGTGAGATTGTTCAGGAAGAGGTTTTCGATATGATAGATCGGGAAGCAGATGGCAGTGATTCATTAGAGGTACATCTTTTTTGAACTTTCTCCTCTCTGCTGGTGTGAGTGGCTAACGGGAGTAACGTAGGGATTTATGTTGCTTCATTCCATCGCAGGTGGAACCGGGTCCGGATTAGGGAGTTATATTCTCGAACGAATGAACGATCGATTCCCTAAAAAATTAATCCAGACCTACTCCGTGTTTCCTGACACACAAGCAGCCGATGTTGTTGTCAATCCCTATAACAGCCTGTTGGCCATGAGAAGATTGACACAAAATGCAGATTCAGTGGTATGTTAGGGTGAGTCCTCCGCTTGATATTCATAATTATTCATGTTTCCCGCTTAGGTTGTCGTGGACAATGGTGCCCTTTCCCGAATTGCTGCAGACCGATTACATGTGCAAGAACCTTCATTTCAACAAACCAATCAATTGGTGAGTAAACTAGAGTAGTGTCATATTGTGCTATTACTGATAACCTGTAGGTTTCTACTGTTATGTCTGCATCCACCACCACCCTTCGATATCCAGGGTACATGCATAACGACCTCGTCAGCATCCTGGCGAATCTCATACCAGATCCTCGTACCAGATTCCTCATCACGTCATACACGCCTTTTACCGGTGATAATGTCGAACAAGCAAAAACAGTCCGAAAAACCACCGTACTAGATGTTATGCGTCGACTCCTCCAACCTAAAAACCGCATGGTCTCAATCGTACCCAGTAAATCCAGCTGCTATATCAGCATATTCAATATCATTCAGGGTGAAGCAGCTCAGACGGATGTTGATAAATCGATTCTCAGGATTCGTGAACGTCGCCTGGCCACATTTATCCCCTGGGGACCAGCTAGCATCCACGTCGCTGTTCCCAAACGCTCTCCATACCTGCCCAATACTCATAGGGTAAGTGGATTAATGCTGGCAAACCACACCTCGGTGGCAACCCTCTTCAAGAGGATTGTTAGTCAGTACGATCGGCTACGCAAGCGCAATGCGTTCTTGGAACAATATAAAAAGGAAGCCCCATTCGCGGATGGATTGGGGGAGTTTGACGAAGCCAGGACTGTGGTTATGGATCTCATTGCGGAATATGAATCTGCAGAAAAACCCGATTACGCAGGTGGCGGGACGGATATAGAGGAGAATTGATTAAAGTCTGCCAAGTGTCTTCTTTGCTTCTTTCCCTCCTGCCGCTGGTATATTCTTGACCCTAATTTGTTTTCTTTGCCTGGCGCCAGGTTTTTGGAGTTGGTTCCTTAGGGCTGTTACATCTTTATCCATGATAACCTGCATCTTAGTTTCGTCCCTTTTTTGAAATTTACCGTTTAGTTTAAAGGTAAAATGCCTCTGGCTATGGCTCGAGATCTCATTTTACTTGACTTTTTGTATTGCAATAGCAACAGAAGTATCCAAAGCTCACACTCAGCTGCCATTGATTCACAACCAGAGGCTTCGGGAACCAGCTCCGCTATGGAGGTCATTTCTCCCAAATTTGATACATTTGCGACTAGGCAGAGGGTCGAAAACGCAGGTCAACTCCCTCCTTTTTCTCTTTATTGGTTATCTCGGACCTGGGCGTCAGCTTCTCTAATGCTCATTCTAAAAGCCAGGCTAAGAGCCCTTGTGAGCAAATTGCGTGGCTCACCCCGCTAGATAAAACAAGTACTGACTCGTTCGAGTTGTCCATTTCAAATCACATAACACAGGGTCTGAATTAAGCTTGATCGTTTCGGATGATCCTTGATGTGCAGAACGTAGCTATCAAGCTTCACTTTCTCGGCCACTTTTGTACAGTACCACCACGCCAATATAGTATGAGACATTACCTGCTTGTGTTTGTTTTGTTTGTCTTAGAGGCTTTCATACTAGGGTCGGGGCATCAACGTCACTGGTTTCTGGGATAAATCTGGAGAAGCGACATCTCCTACTCATCGCATTACCATATATTGCCATATAACCACTTCCTGTTTTCCGCCATCATACACTCAAATAGCAACATCCAAATATTATAGTTATATTTACCACCCCACGGTCAGTGAACCATCTCCATCGCACGCCATGGCAGACCAAGGCTCCAGTAACATTAGCGATCAGATAAAGAGCGCCACCCAACCAGGTAGGTGAAAAAATTCACCAGATTCGCATGCCACCATATATTATCCATAAATCAATATGACAAAAAAAGAAATGGCCCGAAGAAGCGGCTCTTTCACGCAAAATCCAAATACACTCCGCCCAGAGCTACATGGGTTAATGTAACTGTGCTTAATACAGGAGATTCCAAGACTACAACCCAACCGCTTTCCGAGACGGTACAGCAGGGTGCTGAGAATGCGAAAAAGAGTGGCCAGTCAGGGATGGAAACAACAAAGGATGCTGCAGCCAAGGCATCAGAAGCTGCCTTGGGAGCACTTGGTAGCGGTAAGCCCATCGTCTTAAGCCTTGTTGATGGGGACAACTGGCTGACGGGATCCGCTTTTGTTGTGCTCATGATGTAGGAGACAAAAAATAATTGTACCTGGGGACGCTCCAAAGGATGCCACATGGTGTGGGTATTGGATGGTTCAGTTCTAAGCAGGATAAGTTTCTTGTGTCATTTTTGTGAGGGCCGCAGCTGGTGTATGCCGCCGTTTGCACCGTTCGAATAATTCAGTGTTCGAGACGAGCGTGGGAAAATAAGGCAGTAAGTAATATTTACTTTCGGTCTGCGAAGCGGGTTTCAGAAAGCCATGCGCGAAGATGTGTCTTCTAATGGCCTGATGTTGGGGTATCACAATTGAATTGGGGTGACCCGAGAGA